ACGGTCATCGGCCTGAAAAGCCTCCTTTTCTGGCATGAGTTGTCTACAAGGCAAAAGACTCATTGCTCTTGAGGACTTTAAAACCTTTTTCAGTTCTTCCTTACATTCTCTGCTTCAGTGTTCCTGGCTGCCCTCCATGCTGACAAGTTAGGATATTCTGATTAGCTAATATTTCAGAATATGGCTTATAGTCTGTCATCAAAATAGCTTCATGCCATCCTTGTGAATTGTGTGGAATTCAAATTGTCAATGCTTGATTGTACCTAATTTTCCGTTTTGCCAGTTCCTTAATTCCTTTTTTTGTTCAACTTTCTTCTCTCTTAACCACTTCTCTCTCCACTGTACTCTACCTTTTTCAGGGATTTTAAAAAAAACAAACTGTGAACATTCTTTATCTTAAAATTTTTTTTCTATTTTAAAGAAATTCCACATTCATTACAGATTCATTGAAAATACAGAAAAAGAGGGAAATTTTTATAATCACTCATGGCCCTGTCTACTGTTAATGTTTTGGTAGATTTATTAGTTTCTTATGTGTATTTTTCTTACTCTGGTTATGATTTCTGCGTGATTATTTCTGCTTTCATATAGCTAACATTTGATCTATGCATTTGGCATGATTTTATAAACCCCAAACTTTCTAGATGCTTTTTTTCTTTATGGAAAATCAGTAAATGTCACACTTGCAGATTGTGGGGCAGAGAGTTTGCAGATGTGACACTTTTTGATAAACAAGCAAGTTGCTTATTTCCTGAACAAACATTTCTAGAGAACCCATCTGTGCGGGTGCACTTTGAGGACACACAAATGTTTAAGACAAGTGCCCCTCCCCTGGTAAATGGGCCCCCAGAAACCATGACAGACACGTGACGCGCAGGCCGTTCTGACCTGTTCAGCCCTTCCTGTCATAGGCGTGTAGTGCTGGCTATACCGAGGAGGGAGCTGTCTGGGCCAAGTCTCAAAAGGATGTGTATGTGTAGGAGTTTGCCACATGGAATCAGAGAGAGGAAGAGCTTGTAGGTGGAGAAAACAGGAAGGGTGAGAGAGAGTCTGGGGAGCAGGTAACGTCAGATGTGTCCAGGCATGTAATCCTGTGGGTTTTGTGGCCAGAGGGAAAGCCAGAGTGGCAAGTTGTGGGCAGGTTTTAAGGGGACCTGCCATCCTGCTTAGGAGTGTGGGCTTGATCAATTAGTCGGGCCACAGTAAGCCAGGAAAGGTTTTAGCAGGGGTTTATGTGATCACATCTGTCTCTTAGACCTCTCAGAGTCCAGTGATTTAGAAAGTAAGCTGTTGGAAGGGAGGGAGGGAGGGAGGGAAGGAGGGAGGGAGGGAGGGAGGGAGGGAGGGAGGGAGGGAGGGAGGGAGGGAGGGAGGGAGGGAGGGAGGGATTATAGGAATTAATGGAGAGGTACAGAGAGCCAAATCCTTTAGAGCTGAGTGGACGGGAAAGTATTTTTAAAAGACTCACACATGAGTTCTAAGAGGACGTGCATACCGAAATCTCTCTGCTTCAGATCACTTGAGGTGGACATAATATTTGTGGGTGAAACTAAATCTTTCCAGGAGTGAATCTGGAGGAAGAGTTCAGAAGAGTCTCTCGTGATCACAGATGAGCAGCCGCAAGGGCTGTGTGTTGGAGAGAACCATCCGAATTTCTCTTGTTGTCTGCTAGGCCTTGAGATCTCACTTAAGGACCCTTCCCCCCTAACATCCCTCCCCCCCCCAAAAAAAAATATTGACTTAACCTGGCAATTGTCATACTGTCTTGCATTTATATAGTGCTGTACAATTTTAACAATCACCTTTACAAACATTATCTCACTTTGGTTTGTGAGGGTTGAGGATGAGGAAGTATTGTTCTTGCCTGTTACAGATAAGAGAAATGAAGTAAGAGCTGGTGAAATTGTCCAGTCACCCAACACTGGGGCTTGAGATCATGTTTATGCTCATTGTTGTTCCTACAAAAGTGAACTTGGTAACCTGTGGAATATCAGTCCGACAGAGCACAGTATAAAGCAAGGAAAGTTAAAATCACACTGAAAACACCTTGTGTGAGGAGGCAGAAAATGGTTGGTTTGTTTATGAAAGATGAAAATAACTTTTATAAAGATGGGGAACTTTTATTTAAAAGAGAAAACGCTTCTGAAAAATAGATCCTCAGAGAATAATGAATAAATTATTTTAAGTTGTTTTAGCTGCTCAACTACACTTAAATGGCATGTAAAATGGATTATATTTCATTAGAACGACAACAAAAAGTGAACCTGAGGACACCGTTCAGCCTTTGTCGCTGGGGAGGTATTTGCTGCCATAGCAGGCTTAAGTGACTTGGCCAGTTTACTTAATTCCTTAGCCATTCATTAGAAGTTGAAGAAAATTGGTGTATTTTCATTGAGAACTGATTTTTCTGTGACCTAGGAGACCATAATTCACATCCTAATATAGCATGAGACCTACATTTTCACAACTTTGTAGTGTCTGTCCACTGAAAAAGTGTTGATGTGAATGTCCCCCAAAATAACTCTTCTTTCAAAAATGAGCATTCAGGCCCTCCTGGTTTGGTTGAGTAGGCTGTACCTTCAATCATCTGAAATTACATAGATTCTCCTTGATTAAACTCAATATGCAGTGCTTACATTATTACAGTTTTGTAAATGCTATTTCCAGTCAAGTCTTGTAGTTTCCTATAATTTTCCCTTTCTGCATAGTATTTTGTTTCCTATAGAATTAGTAATTACCATGGTTTTTACTTTGTCTTCTATGTACTTATTCACGCTCACATTGTGACTCTGCCAGCCATACCGTCAGAGGCCTTGGGTGTTCTGTCAGTCTCACCTTCTTCAAGACAGCTCTCCAGAGCTCTAACTCACCCATTTCTAGGCTGACTGCAGTTTTCAGCCCCCCTTTTATTGGCATTCTAGCAAGTCCTGTTCCTTTTTCTGTGTTTAGTCCTTCTTTTGTGGAGCATGCCCTTTGTAATTTCTTGGGAAAAAAAGAGTACACAGGTGGTAAATATTTGAAATCTTGTACATATGAAAATGACTTCAGTTTATCCTTAGTTGGTGCTTAATTAATGTGGCTGGGGATAGAATTCTAAGTTAGAAATTATTTTCCCTCAGAATTTGGAGGCATTTTTCTAAAGCCTTCTGTTCTCTAGTGTTGCTTTTGAAATTTTCTGATTTCTGATCTTTCATGTAAAACTTGTTTTTAATTTCTGAAAGCTTTAGAGTTTCTTCTTTACTCCCTCCTCCCACCCCCCACCCCCCATGATGCTGAAATTCCATGATGCTGAGTCTTGCTGTGTAGATCTGTTTTCTTCTATTGAGCTGATTCAATGATCCTTTTGAATCTGGAAATTCATTATCCTCTCTGTGGTGTGTTCAACCTGCCTTCCTTAACTAGAAATCTTCGTAAAACCTTTAAAGGGAAATTATAATAAATTTATATTTATATGAACATGTTTTCCAAAGTGGTAATATTATCAGTTAAAAGCTGCAACATGATCATGGTGATTAAATTGGCCAACCAGAATTTAAAAAGAGTCTGCCAGTCATAAAATAGAGACAGTCAGACATTTCATTTGACAGAGCAATTGAAAATGCAGCGAGTGGATTGTTCAAGCTATTTATTACTCTAGGAACCAGCTTAGACTTGTATGAGAGACAGGCATATTTATTCTTAAACTTTTTTCACTTTTATTGAAAGGAAAAACATGCAATTTAATCCATATAATTTCAAAAGATTGAAGGTACATCCTGCTCAGTTTCTTGTTTTACTTTGGTCCCGGAAATCATACACCAAACACTATTTGTATATTTGACTGCTCAGTCTTCAGCTGTTTTAGCAATACAACAGTTGTCCTCCAGGCCATGCATGCAAAAATATATCTCTAAATTTTCCCTGAAGGTTTAAACCCCCACCCCAAACTGCAATAATAGGAGCAAACCAGTCGTTCTTTCTCTATCAGAGTAATAGAAAAAAATGGGTAAGCATTAATAAAATATATTAATATCTCAGGGAAGTTCTGAAGCTACTCCATACTCTTTCCAAAGGTTGCCCAAGGAACAGAAATATTGAGTGGCCAGTCTTCAAGGTGGTGGTGGGGGTGGGGGTCATGTCTTAATATAAGTTTTTAAAGGAAAGACTCTCTTATGTGTCTCCTCTACTCTCAATAACCACCCTGAACATACCCGTGACAAGGTGGATGCATGGTGGAGGTGGTCAGGCAAGAGGGGGGGCATGTTCCCTGACACCAAGCAATTCTCCAACTCTCTTTAACTCAATTCTGATACTAACTACCCGGAGGTAAAGGACTCAGACACTGACTACTCTCCCATTTCAGATGCCAATTACAAGGCCAGATCTGCTTCTGAAGTTCCCTCGACCCATTCCTCTGGTTCAATTAGCTAGAGTGGCTCACAGAACACAGGAGTGCTTACTAGATTATAAGTTTATTGTAGAGGATATAACCGAGGAGCAGCCGGATGGGAAAGATGCACCGGGCAGGGTGTGTGGGAAGGGCGTGCTCTCTCCCCCGGGTGCACCCTCTCCTGATAGCTCCCAGTGTTCACCATCTGGAACCGCTCCAAGCCTCTCCCATAGGATGTTTGTGGAGGCTTTGCTCCGTAGGTATGATTGATTAAGTCATTGGCCATTGGTGACTAAGCCAGAGATGGGAGCAAGTGGACTCAAAGCTCCAACCCTCACACCACCTGGTTGATTCTGGCAAACATCTGTAGGGGCTTTTCAACTCAGTTAACTCAGGTGTGGTTGAAAAAAAATGCTTGTTATGAATAACAAAGATAAGACACCTTTATCTTTCTTATCGCTTAGGAAATTCCAAAGTGTTTAGAAGCTCTGTGTCAGGAACAGGGGCAAAGACCAAATATATATTTCTTAATATAAACCACAATATCTCAAAGCCTAGTTCTGAATATAAATAGTAATTATAGCACACCTTCATGTGGGCTGATGCGTCTTGTTTTCTCTCTCCCCACCAGCTTTTTGGAGACTGGGAAGCCCAACTGCGGAGAATAATGAAGCTCATTGCTGGCGGTGGCCTGTCCATAACTGGCTCTCACAACATGTGTGGGGACTATCTGTACAGCGGCCACACGGTCATGCTCACACTCACCTACTTATTTATCAAAGAGTGTAAGTCTAAAACAGGCTCCCATTAGAATTTTCTCACCTGCCTTTCCTAGGGTCTGTGGCAAGTCTGCCCAAGCAAGGCTGGAGGCCTTGAGGAGCAGTGCCTCATCTCACCACCTCGCCTGCACGCAGACAGCAGGCACCGGAGACTCTATGTGGCAGGGAGTAACTGCTCTTCTTGGCTGAGTTTCTTATTTCCTTCTGTGTCATCTGTAGTTGTGGGGTGTGACAACCGCTGGAAGAAATCAGAAGGACATCTCCAGGACACAGAAATCTAGTGTTGGGCCTGATAACTGGATGATGGAAGATCATGTGTTCACTCGGTAGCCATTTTTCCAAGCACTTGGCACTGTGCTCTAAGCTGAGGGTGCAGTGATGGGTCAGTGACATCTGTGGACCGTGGCGGTAGAGACCATGGGCTCAGGAACACTAAGTGAGGCAGACAATAAATGGGAAAGTTTATATAAAGGAATGCACTTAAAATATTTTATTATGAAACACAAACGCAAATAAAGTGTTAACATATGATTAAAACATTTCGTCCCTTCCCCCTCCCATTTTCCTATATAATTTCCATGCATGTTTTTGTACTTGTGTATTACATTATTCTCTGGTTTTTAAAATTTACACTTTTCTCTCAGTGGTGTTTTTGAGATGAGACTCCAGTTCATTTTAATTGCTGTTTATATTTCAGTACTACAAATGAACCACAGATTACATTTTTCCATTTATCTACTTGTAGAAAATTCAGTTGTGTTCAATATTTTACCATTAGAAACAGTCTCCGTGAGCCTTATACAGGCAGTTCCATGATAGAGTGACACGGTAACCAGGTTGCTAATATCACAGAGGAGGGACACACATTACAGGAGGGAGGTCTTGGGATCGTATGGCACCTTGGAAGTTGAACATGGTTGGAATTTAGTGGGGGTAATGGTGAGAAGTGAGAATGAACTGGTAAGTAGAACCAAGTCACGCAGAGAATGCCGTAAGCCACCAGAAGGAATCTGAACTTCCATCGGACAGGGATGGAGTGCCTACTGAAGGCTTGTTCCAGTGGGGCAGTGTCACCTTATCCTTTCTGGAGGGAGAAACCACTCTTGCAGCAGCTTGCAAGATGGATGGGAGAGGGAGAAGACAAGGCCAGGAGAAAAGTTAGGAGCCTGCTGCTGTCGTCCAGTGCAGTGTGGTGGTGGATCAGACTACCGGGGTGGCATTGGGGATGGAGAGAAGTAGAAGGACCAGAGGGAGATTAACCAAGAAGGGTCGACAATCAGATTGATTCTGGAGGTTCGGAAGACAGGTGGTAGAATGAAGGATGAATGCCCATTTTGGGTCTTAAGCAAACCTAAGCTGGGGGACCTAACAGGAGAAGAGAAGATGGGCTTTGGGGCACTGACCAGATAGAGCGAATTCTGACAATGACTATTCAGAATTGTCAGGGTGTGATCGAGCCCTTGTACCAGGATATAACTGGACTCAAGGGAACAGAATGGATCTGGTGTCAGTTGGCTGAAGGAGGGATTTCTGCTTCCTGCTGATTGGTACCTGAATCCTTTCATGGGATTAAGCCTTATGCTTCTTGAAGATAATAAAGCAGTGTGCTATATTGGGTCACAAACTCAGATTTTTGAATCCTGGTGCTATCACCACCTCTGTGACCTTGGGAAAAACACTTAACATTTCTACGTCTTGGTTTCTATATGTTTAAAATGAGATACTGATAGCTATTTAACCAGAGTGAGAGAGGCGGTAAAAGCTATAGTAGATGGATATTTATAATAATGTTCATGAGGAATGAATATTTGTTGCTATGTTGTTATCAAATACAAATTTTCCTGGATATGGAATAATACATACACTAAGATCCCTACCCTGACCCTCCATTTAAAATTGCAAACCACCCGTCAGCCTTCTGACCCTGCTTATCCGATTCAACTTTATTTTTCCATAGCATTTAAGACCCCTAACATAGTATATAATTTTCTTATTTATTATAATTATTTTTATTGTCTCTCTTCCCTACTGGAAAGGGATCTCCCCACAAAAGCAGGCTTTTAGCCTGTTTTGTACATTGATCTCAGCACCTGGAGCAGTTCCCATCCTGGGCACATTGTACATGCTCAATAAATATACAATGGTTGCATGAATGAGTGACTGATTCTTGGACCCCTTCAGAATCTAATAAAATCCTGAAATTTCTCTCCTGGAATGAGGAGGGGGAGGGTAGACCACATTTAAACTATTTTTGCCTGGACTTTCAGACCATCTAATACGAGTACAAGGCTGAAAGGCCCACACTAATGGAGATGCTGGTGCTTCCCTTAGGTGATTTTCCAGTGGAGGCACGGACAGTGTTTATTGACACTACTGCACCACTGGGAATGCACTTGGACTGAATTCCCAGGCTTTGGGGTTTTCTCTGTATTTGAGAACGTGGAAATCTCAGACTCAGAGTAGTGTATGGTTGCACAGATTGGAAATCAAATAAATCATATCAATTATAATTAATTCATATATAAGGATCTATGGACCGAAAGGATTGATTTTGTATAGAGAATTAACCCCCAATTATTTACATATAAATTAATGTCCAAGAATAGCTTTTAAAAAAAAATGGATCATGATACATTAACCTGTCCTTATTTGTCTTTTTAAACTGTATTTATGGTTGTATGAGTCAAATAACAGCCAAATATGACTTACTCTTGCTAGTAAAAACACTTTATAAAATTAGATTTTATAAACTATTCTAACATTGGTTACAGATAAGCTAAAGATTTGATAGCCCAAGAGGTGGTTTGCAGAAGGAAGGACATGAGGAAACTGCATTCACAATGGTGGTAGAGGTGTGATTAGGCACCTTGAATAGTGGGATTATTGCAAATTTCTTCTCTCTTCAGATTCCCCTCGACGACTCTGGTGGTATCACTGGATTTGCTGGCTTCTCAGCGTGGTTGGAATCTTCTGTATTCTCTTAGCGCATGACCACTACACTGTGGACGTGGTGGTGGCATATTACATCACTACAAGACTCTTCTGGTGGTACCACACTATGGCCAATCAGCAAGTGAGCTTTCCCCCGTTTGATGTTCCTGTCTTTTGCTCCTGGATTGGTGTTACTGTGGCAGGGGAAAAGTACAAAGGACCCACAGATGCCTTAGGTTTCTCTTTCCTTAAGAGATAGTCAATTATGGTTATGTTATCTTTTGTGATGCTGATCCACTTAAAAATAAAAAATGACCAAGAAATTGCATCCTGTTAGAACAAATATCACATTCTCATTGTCCCTAAAAATATTTACTAAGTTGTGCCCACCTGTTTCTTGACTTGCATTCTTACCCTCTTCTTTCTGCCTTTGGCCCCTCAGCAGCTTAATATTTAAAATTAAGTTTGTTCATTTTCATTGTAGAAGAGTGAATAACTAAAAACTAATTGCGGTCTTTATCTGAGTAAGCCACAGGTTTTCCTTGCACTCCTGGAATTGGAGTTACTTGTTTTTCTACCAGGGTGTTTCCCGGTTTGCAGATGAATGCCAAGTGTAGAATGGTGGTGTGACTGTGAAACTGGGGTGGAGAGGAAGACATGGAGCTAGTCTGGGGCCCTTTGTGCTTTTTAATATTAAAAAATTTGATCTTAAAGTGAAAGGTCATGAGAAAAATATATATGTTCCCTTTGGGGCTGTAGCAAGTTAATTGCTCTTACTGACTTGGTTTTTCCTTTCTTTATTGTCTTAGGTGCTCAAAGAAGCTTCGCAGATGAACCTCTTGGCCCGGGTGTGGTGGTACAGGCCATTTCAGTACTTTGAAAAGAATGTCCAAGGAATTGTACCTCGATCTTACCATTGGCCCTTCCCCTGGCCAGTAGTCCACCTCAGTAGACCAGTTAGATACAGCCGGTTGGTGACTGACACATAACAGCTGTGCAAAGAGGGGGAACGAGGACCTGTTCAAAGTGCTAAGAACTCCACGAGAGAAGATGCCATAAAATAAACACCTCCCTAATCCTACTATCTTTCAACGTTACCTTGACTTAACCTATTGAGTTACCTGGTCAGCACTGTGATCTTTTTCTCTCCAAAGGACCTGCGTTGGACAACAATAAAGAAAATCTAACCTATCATGCACTGTACACATTTCCTGTTCATAAGTCTGGGACTTACATAACCCACAGCCACCATGTTCCTTTGTATATGATGCAACAGCATAAATGTAAGCTTTTGTATCCTAAGTTCTGTTCTTTCCAGTCACATCTGGAAATAAAGTGTATTATTTTTCTTGGGAAAACATACTTTTCATATCTCTTGCCCCAAAGATTGGGCTGTAAGCCATTTTCTAGCCAATGTCTCTATGAAGGTTTCTAAGGACCTGACTGGGGTCTGATTCTGAAATCTTTCTACCTGTTGCACCGATAGTCAAATAAAAATGACAGACAGAAAGGTTTAGTAACTTTGGGTTTTGTAAAATCAGCAGAGACAGTGTGTCAAAAAGTGCAAAAAAAATAAATAAATAAATAAAAAGCTTCTGTTATAAAGTGATTTTCTAACTATTTCCTAACTTTATTTTTCAAATGCTGTTATGAAAACCAAATTTCAAGATTTTTACATGTCAAAGAGAAGAGAGAATTAAAATTTAAAAATGCTTCTTGGGAGAGAAATTTGTCTATGTTTCTAGTGCCTTTCTTGTCTTGATTGTATGGTCAGTAGGCAATCTTTAAAAAAAGTTTTTATTTAAAATAAAGTATTCCATGAAACTATAAATGTATGTATACACTACTAAATTTTGCATTTGTAGCTAAATTAAATCAGAAGACTGCTTATGGCTTTTCAGTTGTTCTGAATTACAGACTGGGGGTGGGGAGACGTGGTGGTAATCTGAAAGTCAGCATCGGCTCCCATATTGTGAGCCGGTGGCCACGACTTGGCCCACTTACATTATTTTACCTATTTGGTGGTTCATTTTTAACTCTACAGTGAAAATAGCCATGAATACTTCTTTTTTTTTTTTAAAGTGAGTTTTGAAAATGATCACTTAACTAAAACTTGAAAGCTATGAATTCGTTATCCATACTCTCATGACAATTTTGTTGGTGAACAACAAAAAAGAGATCTATTTCTTTAAAATATATTTGTGCAGAAACTGCATGTAACTCTTAAGTTTTGTTCCTAACAAAAGGATGGTTGGGGAAGTATTCTATACTATACTTGCCAATGTGGAGAACAAAATAGTTTTTTAAGAATGAAGAAGTATATATATCCATTCTGTATTTTACGTGCAGCAGAATTTTCTTCTGTAGGGTTTTTTTCTTTTTATGTGCGTGTGTATTCACAAGGTGATATTTGTATTGTAAAACAATAATGGTGAAGGAAATAAAATGGCTTTTAAAATTTGGTTTGTTTTAAATCTTTGTAAAGTTATTATTCCAGAGAGCATACTGATATCTTAATAGCTTACCTAGATCGTAAATTAATCAAAATGCACTTTTTAATAAAAACTGATACTTAAAAATAAGTGGCTATTTCTGATGTGTTCACATTGTTCACAGAAGTCCTGCGTGGAATCATTAAAGCAAGGTAAGAGGCTCCATTTCAGAATTTCATCACTGAGGTTGTGTGTGTGTGTGTGTGTGTGGTTTTGTTTGAGATAATCATGTTTCCTTTCTCTTGAGATTCCTTAAAACCTACTCCAAATTTCAGTTTGACTGCTCTTTTACAGGCGAACCTTGAATGATTCAGGGTTTGGGGTGTTACCCCTGCAACAGTGGAAAAATCTTCATAGAACTATAATTTACAGTCAGCCCTTGGCATCCAAGTATCTGAAGGACCAACTGCTCTTTGTTTTTTTAAACCCATGTCATTTCCAGGAAGGACTTCATGCCTTCTCAACTGGAAACCCTTAAAATCAGTGTTACCGTCTACTTCTGTGCCACTTGAGAAGAAAAACCATGCGACTATGAGAACTACGGACACTGGAGACCAGAGTGGATCGGGTAGGTACCTGCTTGCTTACAGGAACCAGAAAGACATGGGGACTAGATACTTAGAAAGAAGCTACTAGTAAGCACTTACTTCTTTTTAACTAGTTTAGCAGCTTCAGGAAAGGTTTGATAGTTGAAAGGATCAATGAATGAGTGGCTCGGTTGTTTTATGAAGAATGAGAGTAATTGCCTGGGGAAAGGAGCAGCCCAGGAGAAAGTGGATGGAGTATGGCATAGCCATTAGAGTTTGTATTGGAAGCTCAGAAGAGAGTTTGTAGGCACTATTTTTGGCCAATTTGCTCTGAGCCTCATTTTTCTCACAAAAATAGGGATGATTTTACCTGTTTTGTGTCATGTGGGACGATGATGAGGCATGGGTGTAAGTTAAGTGCTCAGTAAACAACCACTGTCTCTATGGAGAGGAATGTGAGCAAGAGAAAGATGAACACGAGGCCCCTGTGGAGCCAGGGAAGAAGTGTCAATCCAAACTCTGGCCTCAGCCAGAAAAGGAGAGCGAGGCTGGATTAAGAAACCATGCCTGGACTCAGCCTTTATGTGAACTTCTGAGAAGGTATTAGCAGTAGTCTGAACCTATTGACATCTTACTACCCTCGGTAAAATTCTTGCATTGATGTGTGTGCACAGTGGTGGTTTGAAGTATTGGCCAATGCTGAAATAGCATGACATAGTCTTCTTAAATGATAAGCCAGGGTAGCAATGAAGCAGAAACACGTGGCTACCATGGGTTATTGGTGCCTGGAGTCTGCTCCCCAGGCCAGCTTTGTGCTGGCACATGGAGCAACTGGTACCATTTGAATTGCTTTCTGCTGGTGGAATTAGCACAAGAGGGAAGGGAAGACAGGTTTCAGCCAAAGCAGTGCCTTCCATGCCTTCTCTAAGGAGCCTCTGACCGTGGGAAGGCACATGTTGGGTTTCCCACTGGGTATGGATAGCAATGCTCCTAGAACGTTTCACAAGATCTGGTTGTTTAAATGAATGTTTTGAAGGCTTCTCTGAAACCGTTGGCTGTGATGATCAGATCATCACCAGGCTTACGGAAAATTTATCACAAGCCTTTTGGCCAAGGGAGCCTTTGATCTCTGGCTAGTGTTAGGCTGTGATAGGGCCCTGGCAGGGGTAAGGGGTGAGGATACAATGTGTTCCCAGCACAGGCTTCCTTTGCACAGCAGACAATGTTTCGTACCTCAGCAAGCCTTGCAGGCTTCCTAGCAGAGGGGGCAGGTGAGCTTGCGGGTGTTTGCTAGCTGTTTCTCCACAGGCTCCAGGGATGAACTTGTAAAGCGAACAAACGGCTTGAAAAGGAATCGAGTCCAGTGAGGGCTGCTGGCACAGTGCTGGCTTGGGAAGCATCACTGGCCCCGGATGCTGGACCCCATTCCTGGGTTCGTGAGCGGACCCCAGGTGCCTGCACAGAGCTTGCTGTCCGTTCCCGGGCAGCTCACAGCAGACACTCAGAGACCTCAGCCCACGAGGTCACCTAACGAGGCTTTTCCCCCTGAGGCTCCTGGGTCCTGAGCACCTAGGGTTCCAACTGCGGGAAGACAGAACCACTGAAGCAAGGCATGTAGCCGAGGTGGTGTTCCTTGTTCTTAGTCCTCTGAGCCGATTGTGTCCGACACACAGCAAAAGTTGCTAAGGGTGGCGGTGGCGATAGTTCTTCCTTCGGGAGAGAAAATGTCAATGTATTCAGCACACGTAACCCCCATATGCTATTAGCATTCACCGAGAGCGAATTCAAAGGAAAAGTCACCAAAATTAGATGGGGAAGTATCCGAAATGTCACTGTAACACATGGTAAGAGCGGAGAACTGTAGCAATTTGGCTTTCTGTAGATCTGGGCTATGAAACTGGTTTAATATCTCAACATGTTCAGAGCTTAATCACCAATTAAAATCAGGAACAACAATGAATTTGTTCAAGTCCTAGGAAATCCATTTTCCTCTTGAAGAGGGCCCAAATCCACTTCTTTCTCATTTGACAAAAATGGGGAATTAATGGCCGTCTTTTTACTGGTGTTAGAAGGTCAGAGCGGGAAAGGCAGCCAAGCTTGCTAGAAAGACCTGCTGGCTTCTGTTTTGATGTAGAGCAGCCTGTTTCCTTTGCTCAGGACTGAAGGGAGAGGTAGGAATGGGACTGGAGCCCAGGGGACAGGGTTCCCAGGACACACACACACACACACACACACACACACACACACACGTATATAAGTTCAGCATTTGTATCACTATATTTAAGGCTCTAATAAATGTCTCCTTAAAGAAATCTACTTACATTTCATTAAGTTAGTATTTCCTAAATTTATTTGGCCTTGAAAACCTTTTTGTACAAACCTTTTCTCCCTCTAACATTTTATTATGAAAAAATTTTAAGTGTACACTAAATTTTTAAGAATTTTACAATAAGAATCCATACAGTATCAATCATTATTTTATTAATTCGCTTTATCACATATCAATCCATTTGTCTATCTTTTTATTCATGTATCATTTTTTTCTTTTTTGTTAATCCTCACTAAGGATATTTTTTCCATTGATTTTTAGAGAGAGTGAAAGGGAGGGAAAGTGGAAAGGGAGAGAGAAAAAAAGAGATAACTGTGAGAGAGACACATTGATTGGTTGTCACCCACATGTGCCCTGACCAGGGCCGGGGATTGAACCTGCAACCCAGGTACCTACCCTTGATTGGGAATCAAACCCTCGACTCTTGGGTGCACAGGCCAATGTAGGCCAATGTTCTAACCAATTATTCTTATTTTAATGCATTTCAAAGTAAATCACAGATATCAGTTCACTTCTCCCTAAATACTTTAATATTCATACCATTAACCAAAATACAAAATTTGTTCAGTTTTTTCTAGATGAAATTTATAGACAAAGGATTACATAAACCTTAAGTGTATGTTTTCTATTTTGACAGACAC